CGCGACCCACACGCCACACCACAGCCCAGCCGCCACGAACTGCCCACCCTTCTCGAAAAGGGGCTAGTGGGGTCTCCTCCAGCGCCCCGGGAGGGAAGGCCCATACTTGACCCCCTCCTCTGGCTGATTCCCAGCCATCCTTTACATGCAACCAAGGACCCCCTCCTCTAGCTGGAACGCGGTCAGGTTGTGTCCCCCCCCAAGGTCACAGTCAGGTTGTGTTCCCCCACCAAGGTCACAGTCACCAGCTCTGAGGACGTCATTCCTCCCCAACACCAGCTCCCCACCTGCCAGGGGAGTGCACAGAGACTCCACCTGTGTCCTTAGACCCCAGTTCAGGGCAGCCCCTTCCTCTGCTATACTGGAAGGGAGGAGCAGCCTTCACCTTACCCTTTGGGGGGTTCTGGCCACATTTCCTCCGAGCTTTCACGGAAAATTCAAAACCTTGTATCTTCTAGGTAGCAGCTCTCACCCAGACTCCCCCGTCTAAGAATCTGCCCCCCTCAGGATTGAACCCGCTCACCAGGAGGCCGTGACCAGTGCCCAGGGCCGGGGGGCCCCATGGATTCTCCCCCTCCCTTCGAGGAACTGACCAGAGAGCCCCAGATGCTGAGCCCCAGGCCTGGGGTCCCAGAGAAGCTTCCCCACCCCACCCCACCCCCACCCCCCGAGGGCTCCTCGGTCTTCCCCTGGAGTTTTGGAGACCGCCCAAGGGAGCAGCCAGCTTGTCCACGCTGCCATTCTTATCGGCGATGTTAGGGGATACCCACAGCATTGGGGATACCCACAGCATTCCCGGCCAACATCCCCTGGGGGCAGGATCACCCCCAGCTGAGAACCACCGGTTTCAACCAGTGAAGTGGCTACTGGCTCTGGTTGTGTTCTCTCAAGTACAAAGTGAGGGGGAATGTCTCCCCTGCATAGACTTTGCCGTTAGTTAAGAGTGTCCATGGCGCAGGACTCAACCACAGAACATCTCCGTGCAGGCACTACACGGGTCCTGTGATTACGGAGCAGCGTTCAAGTGGGCTGCGCGGGGCTCCACGCAGCGTCCACACAGCAGATCGCTCTGTAAAAGTCACTGTGATCACAGGGGTTGACAGGGTGGTGCAGAGAATATTCTCTCCCACGCGTTATTGAAGAAAAGAAGCGTAATCATTTCATGCCACAGGGCAAGGTCATGGCCTCCCGGTGATCCCGTGAGCGCAGATCCCCGAGAAGGGCCCCACGAACACTGTGCTCATTGATCGATGCTTCTGCATCCAACGCTTGGAAGACGAGCCGGGAGAGAAGCAGAGGACCAGCACAGACCGGGAGCAAGGCCCTGCAGAAGGCTCGTCGCGGAAAGGATCTGCAGCTAAGTGACACGGAACTTGTAAAATCCAACACTTAAGACACCAAACAACTTTGATTTAAAAACGAACAGACAGCACCTCACCAAAGGGGACATACAGACGGCACACACGCACACGAAGTGATGCTGGAGGTCTGTAAGTCATCAGGGAACGGGAGCCTAAGTCTGCTTGAGAAAAGGACATTTACAGGGGTGCCTGGGGGGTTCAGCTGGTTAAGCGTCTGCCTTCGGCTCAGGTCATGATCCTGGGATCCTGGGATCAAGTCCCGCATCAGGCTCCCTGCTCAGCCAGAATCTGCTTCTCCCTCTAGCTCTCACCCTGCTCTTGATCTCTCTCTCTCAAATAAATACATAAATCTAAAAAAAAAAAAAAAAAAAAGGACATTTACAGAAACAAATAAAAAATCAGTCAGAGAACAGGAACTTCTTAAACGTTTCCTTCCTCAGAGCAAAGGAGGGACAGAGCCTCCAGGTTGGGCTCTGGTCGCTGGTCTGGGATGAGGGCAGGTCCTCAGTGCAGAGGACGGGGAGGCCCCCCCACAGGGCCCCTCCCATCCAGGGCCAGCCTGGCCCGGTAGCTGGTTGCACCCCTCTGGGGAGACTTGACAGGGCAGCTGCAGCGCCTGGGGTGCCCCTGGCCCCACCTCCGGGCCCGCTGGATCTCTGGGGCCTTCCATCCGAGGTCACGAGGGGGACCTGGCGAGGGGAGTCTGTCCAAACCAGCTTTTAGTAAGTTGCTCCGCGAAGTCCCCAGGCTTTCTGGGGGAGCCGTGGGCTTGTTAAGCGCTCTTCCCACCCTTTTCCGACATCCGCAGTTAGTCACGGTTCTGTTTTCTGAACAGGCCACCACGTGACCCGACGTGGTTCCCTCCCGGAGCCCGTCAGCCTGAATCACGCCACGAATTCAGCCACGCGCGCTTCCTGCGTTGGTTCCTCCAAACCCCAGGGCAACGCATTTCCTAAAACGATCTCGCCTGAAGATGACAGGACGTTCACCCCACGTGTCCCTCCGAGCCTTGTCACAACCACGAGTTCTGCCGATCCGGGTGGAGTCCAAGCCCCGCAGGCTCCCCGAATCGCTGACCTCCCTGAATCTTCACACCCTCCCTTACAGGGGCCTCACCACCGCCCAGGCTCCCCAACTCACTGTCAACTTTCTAACAAAAAGGAAAACGAAACCCCACGGCACCTGACAGCACCCAGCGACCTCTGAGCACCCACCCTCTTCCTGGTGGTTCCGGGGTAGGCAAATGCGTATCAGCCCATGGGGGCAGGGCCCCGCCCCGCCTCACAGACCATGCCAAGAGCACAGAGCTCAGGAGGGCAGGCAGCCAAGGCAGAAGGGCTGCTGGAGGGCTGACAACTCTCCATTATTAGGACCTCATCAGCCAGCCTCTGCCTCTCTGCTGCCCACTTCCCAGAAGACCAGCGGGAAGCCCTTCCCAGCCCAGCCTCAAAACCCCCACCCCACTCCTGCATCTGAGCCCACTTAGGGGTTTTCGGCCTTCTGTTTATATGGGGGAACCCCAAGTAGGCCAGGCACCCGAACTTTGAGAACCGAGGCATGGGGAGCCGGCTAACTCACACACAAAAGCAACAGCACTACTGCAAGCATCTTGGCCCTTCTGCTGTCTTCACGTCCCCGCAGTTCTTCCCAGGATGCTCTGGTACCGGGATTCCCGGTGCACCAGTCAGACCAGACTGGCCCACTACGCACTAGACACACACGAGCTCCTAGATGCAAAGACAAGAAGATTTCCCTTTGGGCCCAGCCCATTATTCAGGCACGTGTTTTTCGTATTCCAAGCGCGCAAACGGCACCCATAAAAAGCCGTGACAGTCCAGAACATTCCGCTGCCTTGCTAGTCAGTGACAGATTTCTTTCACGGGTTCCTTCTGATCCCAACCCAAGAGTGACCTGCTCTGGGCCCTTCTCAACCAGTCTATGCTTTCGCACGTTCCTCAGAGCGCTTGGTATCCTCGTGCTCTGGTCCGTGGGCTCGTCCCAGCCGACGCCCCGTTCCCTGAAGGCAGGAGCCTGGCCTGCATCCCTTCTCCCCAGGCCGAACAAACTGGGACAGGGAAGCGGCGTTTCTGTCTGTAATTGTTCCAAGTCCCCAAGGGGACCTGAAATGACTTGTAGTGAGGGAGACATCGCAACAGCTGACGACACACATCACCGAGGTGGCAGGAATGACACAGAAGAGTGACTGTCATTTACCATTTGATAGGAAACAAATAGAAGCCAGTTTGGGCCCTTAAATCGTAACATAAGGCTTGCGAGAGAGGAATGGCCAATTTGTTCTGGGATGTCTGGAAGCCCCAAAAGGTTGACAAGGCCCTACCCACAGGGAACCGAATCAAGTCATTTGGTAAAAGCTTCCCTGATGGGAGATGCCAGGGTACACACCTCCCCCCATAAAAATCCCCGAGGGCAATGCATGGGGGTATGCACTTCCCCCCGCGTCCCTAGGAACTCGCAGGTCCCTTGGAGAGATGAATGGAGATCGTGTGTCCCCGCGGGTATGCATCCTTGGGGTTCACTCAACCTGGAGCTACCAGGAGTCTTTCTGGGGCGTGTTAGCCTCCGTGGTTTCAGGAAACCAGTCCACACATCCCTCTCCCTGCCCCTTCTTTCCCGGACACCGGCCTGAAGCCAGCCTTCTCCCCGACCTGCCTTATCTCGGCGGCCTCTTCCGCTCCTCCTTCCTCCCAAGCACGACTCACCCAGACCCATCCGGAATCTGCCCCAGGGGAGGAATCTCCCGGCTTGAACAAAGGGAAAATTCAGGAATGCGGTCCTCAAAGAGGCAGCCCAACAGCGGTGTATTTAAAACACACACACACGCAGACAGAAGTTCGGCCCTTGCAACTCTGAGAAAACTTTAAAACTGTAAAAGGAGGCAGGTAGTTTTTCAGAATGATTTTCCCAAGCACAAAAGTGGGAGGGGAGCTCTGCCGCCCTCGGTGGCGGCACCCCCACCCCCACCCCGGTCTGTGGCCTGCACTCGCTGCGCCCCTTTCCTTCCTCCCGGCTCCAGGGCGAGGGCCGCGTCCCCTGCAGGGGCTCCCGCCCCCAAAACACCAACCCGGCCCCTGGCCCGTGCCCAGCCAGCCCGAAGTGGCCAGCAAATGCTCAGCACGAGGAGGGTCACACGCAGGGCTGAGGGCAGTGGGCCCGCAGGCGGGGCTGCTCTCGAGCCGGGCTAAGCCAACGGCGACTCCGGCAGGCGGGAGCGCCGGGGAGGGGACGACCCGGGCTCTCGCTCCAAGTCCCCCTTCCGCACCAGCGGCCATCTGCAAACCGCCCGGGAGGGGGCGGCCGGGCCGCGAAGACTCCCCGCCAGTGTTTAAAGGTCTGGGCAGGAGGAAGGAGCGAGGGTCAAGGGCGCGCCCGAAGGTCACGGCGGCCCGAGCGCGCAAGCCGGGGAGTCACCCCAGCGAGGCCGGGCGGGGACGCATGGTCCCGGCAGAGCTCGGGGACGCGCGCGCGCGGGGCAAGGAGGGGGCGGGGACGCGGGGGCCGCTGGCGCGGGGCGGGGAGCCACCCCAACGGGGCGCGGGGACGCCTGCGCGCGGGGACGCGTGGCCCCGGCAGGGCTCGGGGACGCCTGCGCGGCTGCAGGCCGGCGGCCGCCGCACTCACCCTCCTTGGCCTTCTTCTTCCTCGCCAGCGTGCCGCCGAGCTTGCCCAGGAACGACTCGTCCTTCTTCATCCTGTGGGGCCGCGGGGTGGGCGAGCGCAGCGGCGCGGAGGACATGGGCGGCGCGGGGCACAGCGGCGGGCGCAGCGCGTGTGGGAGCCGCCCGGGTCGCCGCCGCCACCGCCGCCGCCCTCTCGGCCGCCCGGGGAGGGGCCCACGGGGCGCGGCCCCAGCGCCCGCCCCCGCCCCGCGCCCGCCCCCGGCCCTGGAGCCGCCCCAGCCGAGGTCCGCGTTGTCCGGCTCTGCCACTTCCAGCCCCCCGGGACCGCGCGTCCGCTCCCCCCCGAGAAGTGAAGGGGATCGGTCCCGAGGGCCGCGTGGGACCGTCTCCCTGGGCTCCCTGCGACCTTTCGTCCTACACGTTTGAGCCCTGCGCCCTCGGGCTCCGGTGATGGTGCCAAGGCTCCTTCGAGGAGCGCGACGACGTGCGTCAAAGAACCGCAGGGATGGGTCATTTCACTTGTTGAGCTTATGCCCAGAACCGGGCCTGGGGCCGGGGTAACCCCCGTGAACGGTCCCCGCCCTTAAGAAGCGGCGGTGTGGTGGGCCCCGCCGGCCCCTGGGCGCCCTGCGAACACTTGCCTGGTCCCAGGGGAGCTCAGGGTGTTTCCCAAGAGGTGATGTGAAGGCCCAGGAGTCCGGGCTGGCCTGGATTCAGGTCCGGGTGTTCAGGCAGAAGAGGGCAACCAGAGGGGACAGGGCCCAGACTTCAGGGAGAGCAGAAGGGAAAAGAGGGCCGGGCGGGCCTTGTAAATGCTGGAAGCGGAGCAGAGAAAGGATTTTCCAGTTGGAATGATGCGATCAGATTTGGGTGTACCTATTTGATATGGCAGACACCAGGACTGTAGGTGGAGGAGTAAGGCGGGAGCCTGGGGTACCAGTTCCAGGCCCTGGGTGACTTAGGAGGGAGGTGAACAGATCCCAGGAGATGCAAGTGGAAGGAGCCCCAGACTAGGAGTCAGAAGAATTAAGGCTGTTTCCCACTGGGCCAGGGCTGGGGGGGGGTGTCAGGCTGAGACTGGGGGTCCCCTGGGAAGGACAGGAGAGTCTGGGTCCCAAATGTGGCTCAAGGGTGAAGGTTCTCCTCTGTGCCCGCTCAGGGCCCGCCACACTAACTCCTTCCGCACCGTTCAGCAAAGGTCAGTGTCGTCCAGTGGGTGCCAAGCCCTGTCCTCCCGCTGGGGGTGCACAGACCACAGGGACAAAGACTTGCCCTCCAGGACAGCACATGCAACCTGCGGTGACACAGGACTCACGGGCCATGCAGTTAGGAACCCAGTGAGGTGGGGGAGAGGAGGCTTGCGGGGGTAGAGCCATCTGACCTGGGATGGGATAAAATCACCCTTGGCCGTTGCGCAGTAAAGGGAGAGAAGACTCAGCAGACAGAGGGGAGAGGGACAGGGAGAGAACGCTGAGTGAAGACAGGCACCCGGGGGTGTGAAGGGACAAGAAAAAAGGCACATGGCCTGGTGTGGTTGAGCTTCTGGGGTGGGGAAGAGCTCGACCATGCCCCATTCGGAGCGCCCCAAGGCTCTGAGAGGGTCTGAGCAGAGGCCTGACCTGTTGGATTGATGCCAAGGGTGGATGGAAGCAAAAGCCAGGGTCAGAGAGCAATTCAGAAGCTCCTGAAACAGGCCAGCCCCGAGTCGCCAAGGCCAAGAACCAAAGTGGTACCAGAGGGAAGGGACAGTCAACAGTGAGCTTTGAGGGTTGCAAACCACGACATTTGGAAAATATTCGGAGGCCGGGGTTAGGGACAGCGGAGGGCCAGAGGTCTCTGAGGCTTTGGAAGGCCCCACTGGGGGTGTGTCTAGCCAGACTGGGGGAAACACAGAAAGGTTGCGAACTGGGTTATTGACATCCCAGTGGCACAGTTCAGCTAGACAGTGCTCTCGATCCTGGAGATGCTGTCATCGAGAGCGGGGGTCTCTGGCCCCTTTGAGAAGCGGATGCACAGAACCGACAGTTTAAAGAAGGACACACGTGAGATGTCCCACACTGCCTTGGGAGGCCCACAGACACCCTCTCCCTCCGGCTGCCCTCAGCACAGCCACAGGCCCCGGGGAGGGGGGCGGAAAGGTAGCGTGGGAAGGAAAACAGAGCAGAGCCATGCTCCTGGGCCCCCAGAACTGGCAGCAGAGGGACAGTCCTGTGCCCATCCCCACGAGTAATCAGTTGTTTGAATAGTTCATCAGTGCGTCCAACTTTCCAGCAAATGCACAGAACTTACAATCTTCCCTTTTTAACTGCTCCTATGAAGAGCACAGAGACGTGCGGAATCCTACTTTTAAAAGTATCATTACACCATGAACGAATTTCTCTAGAACACACCTGAGCCTGACGATGCCCACCTGTTTCAAGCAGGACAACTCACGACAACCAAGTGATTCCTAGTTCCTCGAGGAACTCCACTGGGCCTTACGTGACCGCGGGGTTCCTGGCATGCTGTAGAAATCGTTTGTATAGAAACATGATCATATATTACCAAGAAATCCCTGCAAAGCAATGACTTCTCGGTTAAGTTTACAATCACTCCCTTTTCTGCAGAGAGACGTGTGCATTCACAAACGCTGTTTGTCCCTTGCACGTTCTGGGCTGGAGAAGGGGATGATCTCTTATTAAAGGCAGCTTTGAAGATTATCTTTTTTTTTTTTTTTAAGATTTTATTTATTTACTTGACACACACAGAGAGAGAGAGATCACAAGTAGGCAGAAAGGCAGGCAGAGAGAGGGGGAAGCAGGCTCCCCACTGAGCAGAGAGCCTGATGTGGGGCTTGATCCCAGGACCCTGAGATCATAACCTGAGCCGAAGGCAGAGGCTTTAACCCACTGGGCCACCCAGGTGCCCCTGAAGATTATCTTAAATTACTCTGTGAGTTGCAATGGTTTGTCTCGTGTGCCTCTCAGACAGCAGGTCAAACACTGACTTGATGGCTGTGGACTGATTTATATTTTTTTCTGGGCTGGATGAAGGAGGGACGATGATACAACCCCCCCCCTCCCCAAATTCTCCTCGCTTACTGGCCTGGCTCCTGGGATTTTACAGTGTTCCCTCCACGCTCGTCTAACCAAAACGACTTTCCAAATCGGTTTATAGAGCAGCAAACATCAATATTCACTTGAAGATTAGAAAGTGTTGGTTTTTAATTAAAAAGAGAATTTAACAAGAAGCTGAAGTGTGACCTTCGCTCCTGTCCTCATCAACTCCGCCTTCCACGTCTTAGCACGTTACAGAAGGATAGCCCACACCGTCGCTCTGTGCACACTTTACATTGGGGAATAATTAGGAAAATCAGATTATGGGCCGCTGCCCCTATAGAAGAAAACCACTTGATTTTGGGTTTGAAGTATAGCTTCCAAAAAGTCCAGTTCCTTATACGCTTAATGACGGACAAGGAACAAACATCTCACGAGCGTGGGCCATAATTCCTGGCCGCGTACTGAGCCCCATGCCGCGTGCTCTCGATCAACCCAATCACGCGCATGCCTGCCGATCTTGCTATCTTTCCCATAAAGGGACAGGCACGCTGGGCAATGCATGCAGATGTAATCTGTCCTAACAACCAAGAGCCTTAAAAGTAACGCGTTAGGAGAATGCAGAAAGTGGTTGGTATGTTTGTACGATGCAATACTACTGAGCGATCAAAAAGAATGACCGAGGGGACGTATCTTAAAAATGTCACGTGGAGAGGCCAGAGTACACACGGGGTGCATCCATGTGTTTGAAGTTCAAAAACAGGTGACCTCCTTCTAATGCTGAGAGCGGCTCCCCCCAGCAGGAGAGGATCTTGCCTGGGTGTGGGCACCAGGAAGCGCGGGGTGATGCAAATGGCCCATGAGTTGGCCTGGGTGGTCTTCACGTCACTCGTCACTCGGGTGTAGACCTGTCCGCGGAGCATTTGCGCATTTCCCTGTATATCCGTGACACCTCCGTAAAGTCTTGGGGAGAAGAAAGTAAATAAGGGCGCCTGGCTGGCTCTGTGGGTTAAAGCCTCTGCCTTCGGCTCAGGTCATGATATCAGGGTCCTGGGATTGAGACCCGCGTTGGGCTCTCTGCTCAGCGGGGAGCTTGCTTCCCCCCTCTCTCTCTCTGCCTGCCTCTCTGCCTACTTGTGATCTCTGCCTGTCAAGTAAATAAATACAATCTTTAAAAAAACAAGAAAGAAAGAAAGAGTAAAGAAATGTTACTTCTTGGCAGGATGATTTGAGTTCTTTACCTTGCCTGCTTTGGGGTCTATTCCTTATCAACGAGCCTCTTACGGCCCGAGGCTCCGTAAGCACATAGAGAAGGTTTTGAAGCTGCCTGCTTTCTCCAATGTCAAAAGAAGTGATGTCTTTCAGAAAAAAATAAAACAAAACAAAAAAACAGCCCTTAGCTCTTGGGGAGAGGATAGGGAGCTCATCCTAGGGTGCGGACAGAGCCTGTGAAATGTTTCCTTGAGTTGCTCATTTTCAAACCTCCGGCAGCTGTGGGAGAGTCAGGAGTGTGTGGAAAAGCAAGGGAAAGAATGAATTCAGTGATGAGGAAGCGCCGTATTCCCCCCTTCCCCCTGCCAGGTGTTGCTCTGGGTGCGATCTTATGGCACACGGGGGCAGCACTTCCAAACCCACTGTGCTCATCATGTCTAAAGTCATCTTGTGGACAATCCTATTTAAGTAGTTTGCTCCTGGAGCAGCCTGGCAGGAGATGGACATGTGATCTGCACTGTAGCAGCTAGGAGCGTGGAAAGATGACCACACTTGCCTGGAATTTAAAAAATTGTGGCGGTAACCCTTTATCCCATACCACATGCGAGCAAAACATGAATCACGGACGGCAGTGATCAGCAGCCGCTTACTCAGTGATTTTGGAAACATCAGCAAACTTTGAGACAAGGAAAGTTGGGTTTCCATTTATTAGCAACTCCTCTGAGTCATCAGTTTGCATAGTAGGCAAATTAAACTACATATGCTCTTTGTTCCTAAAAATGTTTTATGAGGGTGAGAGGTTGGCACCAAGTTATTGATACCTTCCATGGAGGAGAATTGGTGAATCCCTCTAAGAGATTATGCCCCCA